GCCTAATGGAGGTCTTTAGGGGATAGAGCATGTGCCTTGGAAGGTAATAGTGGAGCCCTAGCTCCTTCTTCTGCCATCTGGCACCATCTGGCACCGCCACAAGCAGCCTAAAGTGAATGGGTGCACCAGATTTCATTGGCTAGAACCTCTAAAACCATGAAAACACTCCTTTTCATAAGTTAATGATCTCAGGTATGTTGTTATAGAGACAGAAAACTATCGGACACAGACAAGTCCTTCTGTATTACAAGGGCAGTCCCTTCCATCACAGACATGAGATGTAAAAATGATGCCATAGAAAGGAAATAAAAATTATCTGATCTATGGCAGAAACTTAGTACAGGAAATACTACTTTCACTTGCCAGGACTGGCCTCAAGTTCCTTCTTTAAGATAAACATGACCCTAGTTTGTTGACTCCCAATGACTGTGCATTTATTTCAGAGGAGATTAACACATTTAGAAAAAGGAGAGAGGCGTAGAAGAAGGGAAAGAAAATATGAAAAGAGAGAAAGAAGACAAATTTTTTTTAAAATATCAGTAGAACTACAGAGAAGGGAAATCTGAGAATGTTCCCCAATTTTCAGCTATTTGGATGTTCATTACACCTTCAAACTATCTGAAGTGACCACACAGAACTGGGAGACACAGGTCTCCCCCCTCCCTCACAGGAGGTTCCTGAAACACTAACTTGGGTGGCCTCCCAGGTCAGCCATCTTTCTGCCAGTGATCAAATGGCTATGAAGTATCAATATATCAAGCAAAACCTTTTGAATTTCCAATGTATAAACAAAAATAGGATACAGGTGTGTGCTGTGTGTATGAGAGGGAGTGAAAGAAAGGCAGAAACAGAGACAGAGAGACACTGGGACAAAGGGGGAGAGGAGAAAGACAGAGACAGACACAGAGAGATCTGTTCAAATTCCAGGGCTGGTGCCTGGGGATGATGGCACTGAAGCCTTCCTTCTCTCAGTGACAAGGAGCAATGTGATGTCTCAACAGCACTGGCCAACTTCCCTCCTTCCCCTCTTAAATCAGCCATGAAACGCTGTCACTTTTCATCAGGACTGCATATGCTGAATAAAAGCAGCCCGGAGATAAGCAGTCTTTGACCTGCTTAGAGAAGCCTTGCTGCTGATAGTTTTTTATTTCTTCACAGCCCTGGAGTGGTGGCTCCAAAAATGGAGCTGAAATCAGGGTGTGGATCAGGGCGGGTCCCCAGGCATCCATGTAGGACTCTCCGTCTATAGGGGCTGGAGTGGGGGCGCTGCTCCCACAGGCTCTTGGGACTCTTACAAAGGTTACAGTTCTAATGAGACTGCACAGTCCCACATTTTTTTTCCCCAGGGCTGTCAATGTTACATTTACTAGCCTCCACGTGCCTTTTCTAAAAAAGCTCTCAGAAAAGGATGACCAGAGTGCCGGCCAGGTTAATTCCTAGGTATACTCTAATAATATGGGCTGTTGATCAAACAGTGTTTTGTTCTGTACTGGATAGTGTAGTAAATATACTTTTCCCATTTATAGTATTTAAAGACAGATGCTCTGAATGACACGGTATAGAGTTGCGAAAACTGAGGCTTTCACAAGATAAATCAGTTGTTCGGGGTCACAATGCTGCTAAAAATCTTAGGATCTGCCCTTCTGAAAGCCTTTTCTGCCTTCAACCATGCTCAGCCCTTGGAGGAGGGCAGTTTTCCTGGTGGGAAGAGTTCTGGTTTTGTGGTCAGAAACTTCCCATAATTAGTGATGCAATCCACATGGCAGGCACGCTCGCCAAGCCCTCCCCTCATCTTCCACGTGGGATAATCATTTCTATGCTGCTTTTCAATAGGACTTAAGGAAAGTACCAATACCTGTTGCTGAGTTCATTTCTCTGAGACAAACTTCCCTACTCATGTGCTCAAGGTCTAGAATGAGAAGCGGGTTGCCAGAAGTGGCACGGATAAGGAAAGTCTAGAAGTAAAGTTCTGCTATGGTTTTCCATTTTTATTTCCTTATTCCCTTCTTTCTTGGTGTAACTGTCTGGGGAATCACCTATTCTAATGTCTGATAATTTCTACATTTAGAGTTTGGATATAAAAAAACCCCAAACACTTGTTTGCCAGCTGATAGAAACAGCTTCTGGAAACTGACTGAATCATGAGGACTCTAATCTAATGAATGGATTAATCCATACGTGAAGTCATAATATGAAGGTACTTCTTCTGGGAGATGGTGGCAACTAGGAAGTGGGAGTCTAGTTGGTGGAAGAAGGTCACTGGAGCCTTGGTCTGGAAAGCTATGTCGTCTTCTGTCTCCTGGCTACTTCCTGGCTGCCATGAAATACGCAGGCTCCTCTAACACATGCACCTGCCAGTACGGTGTCCTTCCGCACCTCGGGCCTAACAGCTTTGAGAGAAGCCAACCTCATATCATAGATTGAAACCATGAACCAAAACAGATCTGTCTTCCATTAAGTTGCTTTTCTCAGGTATTTGACCATTTGACTAATGTATCTACTAACATGCAAAGCTACTGGGACATGCAGTCAAACACTCAAAATAGGGCACTCACAGTATATATTCAATAAATATCTAAAGGAAGTTCAGGAGAAAGGTAGGCAGGGAGAGAGCAGGCCATACTGGCATTTCCTCAGGTACTCATTTAATGATTAACTGTTGGTATTTCAACCACACCTGTGCCATTTTGAGTCTCTAGCAAATTAATTCGGGCAAAGCTATTTGATTTCATTCTGTCATTACTAATGAATAAAGAACTTAAAAACAATGGCAATACTCAAAACAATGGAATTCCATGACAAACAGTCTAAACAAACTAATAATTTGTAGTTTGGATGAACCTATCATTTTTCTCCAACAAACATGCTAGTATGGGCCTCCAGTTTCCTTAAAATTCCAAATTAAAGTTACCCTCATAAAGACCGACCACACACACACACACACACACACACACACACACACACACACATTCTCTCTCTCTCTTTCTCTCTCTGATTCCCACAGAACTGACATAAAAATGCTGCAAATAGTAGCTAATAAAATCCCAACACAATGTGTGTTCCTACCTCCATCAGTTAAGACAACATTGACACAGAAAAATCTGTAACAACATACAAGTGAGAACCTGGAGGAGCTCTTGAAAAAAGCATGCAGACATCAAGAAACAAAAACAAATTTAGGATGGTTTGGTTAGCAGCTATGTTTGAAATAGAAATAAAACATACTAAGTAATATCTGAATTTGTCCCCAACCATACAGCAAGGATTTGGGGGTATATATGTATAAGAAAATGAAATGGTTATCATCATACACATAATACACTTGTGGCTAAAGCTCTGTAAAAAAGACTGGAAAAAAATCAACCAATTGTCAACTCTAAAAAATCACTGAAAAGAGAAAACAAATGCCAATCTGGACCCTCCCAAAAGTTTTTGACATTAGGAACTTAGTGAATCTTCTCCAACTAGAGGAATCCAGATAACTACCTTCACCAAAGATTTGGCTACAAGAGATAGCATCTCCGTTAACTATAGGGCATCACCAGCCCAGAGGCAGTGTTTATTCTATTGTGAAATGTAGACACATCAGGAGCTCTGGGGCCCTCTCCACAGGTCTGCAGGGACAAGAACACACATACACACAGAAATGGAGTAGGGTAGGGCTGTGTGTGAGAAAGTCTGGGAGTGGAACTTGCATCACAGATCTCTCCTCCCCTAACTGAATCCTGTTAAAAACCAGTCATCAGAACACAGTTCACATACAAAAATGCTTCCCTCATAGAGTCAGAGGGCTTTGAGTGAAAAGTATCACATTGTCAAGAGACCATTCATTTCTAACTGACACAGCTTTTATTTCCAAGAGCAAAATCCAGGCACAAAATCAAAGCCTATCAATAAGACTTATTGGAGACAAAAGTAAACAAACACAAAAGGTTTGAACTAACCCCACTCAATAGCAGGTGGAAACCGAAGGCACAGCATTCGCCATAACCAGGACCTGAGAAGCTGAAGGAAAAACTCCTTATAGATGGCTTTTAAGTTTGGAGGGAGGAAAAAGCCTAACTTTCACTGGGCATAGAATATAAAAGGTTACATAAGCAGCTGCATCCCAAATGTTAGGCCCAAACAGAGCAATTGAAGTTGACTTGGAAGATGGTAAAAGTGCCTTCCCTAATGACTATTAATAAATAAAAAGTTCTTTCTTTAGTTGGTAGGAGGATAGTTACTCTTGACCATTTTGATTTCCCAGAAGATGGTGGAGATGCGTATGAACTTTTTTATTTTCCAGATTAAAAAAAAAAAAAAAGCCCCAAAGCCCTGTTTCTGAAGTCACGTCAGGCTCCTTCTCCAAGCCTGGCTCCCGCCTCTCCCCCCCCCCAACTTGCCTATGGGGACATTCTCCAATGAAACTTTTTCCGAAAGTGAAGAATCAAAAGTGTGGTGAAGCAGAGGCCAAGGAGGCCAGGCTGAATTCAGTGAGGGTGATGACAAAATGAAACTACCCAGCCAGAACACACCGGGCAGCCTGCACTCCCAAGCCTGGAATCGCCAGAGGTTCCCGATCCTCGTTCCTGGAAGTGGAGGAGCCTCCTCTAGCTGAGCTCCACCGGAGGCCCCACATCTCCCCAGGGTGGGGGGTCCAAGTCTGTTTATCCCTCTCTCCCCCTCCGACTTCCAGGCCCACCCCCTCCCTGCAGAAGACCGCACCTGGGCTGATGTGCGGGCCTCCCGGGCTCATCCGAGGGAGCGCCCCACCTGCCCCTCCGCCCCCCTCCCAGGTCCGAGCGGTGGAGCTGCCAGGCCGGGCGCACCTTCCCTGTTCCCAGCCCTCCGCGCTCTCCTCCCGGGAGAAGGGGAAGGGGCTGCTGATCACACACACACCCGGGACCCTGGGCAGCCGGGCGGGCATGATAGAAGGACGCAGAACGCCAGCACCGGAGGGGGCGGGAGGCGCCGGCGAGGGCGCCGTCGGGGGTGGGGGGAGGTGGGCGGCCACTTACTCGAAGGCGAAGAAGAGCCCGCTGGTGACCAGGATGAGGACGAGCGTCAGGTAGAAGACGCCCGTCTGCCGGGCCATCATGATCCGCCCGTTGCAGAAGAACTTGTTCCTCCCCGGGAACACCTCCCATTTCCTGCGGGCGGCGATCCTCTTCTTGGAGTGGGGCGACTCCATGGGCGAAGAGCCGTGGGTGCTGATCTGGCTGTACTCGCAGTCTGTCATGGGCCCGCCGCCGGGAGGCATCCACGAGGGCAGCGGGCGGGGGGCGCA